TCTTGTAGGCTTTGCTCTTTTCTCTTGTTTCTCTGCTCTATCTCTGTGATGGTTTTATTTAGTTGGAGGGTGTTATCTTCAATCTCTGAGATTCTTTCTTCTGTTTGATCTACCCTGTTCTTGAGACATTCCACTGTATTTTGTAGTTCCCTGAATTGATTCTTCATTTTCAGGAGTTTGGTTAAACTTTTCTTCATTGTGTCTATTTCTTTTTCCAGATCCTGGAGGTTTTTTGTGGTTTCTTTGTGTTGGTTATTGAGTTGTTGTTGCAGCTTGGTGAGTGTTCTTATGATCCACATACGAAATTCCTCTTCTGTCATTTTGGTTGCCTGATTTTGGTTGGTGTCCGTTTCTAGGGGGCTGGTGCTCCTCTTTGGGGGTGTGTTTTCCTTTTGGTTCTTCATATTTCCTGAGTTCCTTCGGTGATTTCTTCCCATGTTGATCAGTTGTTGTTTCTTTCCTTTAAGTTTTTGTTTGGGTATTCACACGCCTTGTTTAGTTTCTGAGGCATTAGGTGGTGTCTGTGGGTGAGATTCGACCACTCCCTGTATAATGAGTCAGTGGGTGCCGTTAAAAGGCTGTGCAGGATACTGTCCCTGTCAGTACGTGGCGCTTGTTTGGAGGAACAGGCTATGCGGTTGATTTTGTGTCCTGTTATCAGCTCTTGTTCTGGGCAGAGCTGGGTTGGGTAAGCCTGCCCTCAGGCACCACCAATGTCATTAGCAGGGATCAAAGTTCTGTCCTCTGCTTCCAGGAAAAGCTGTCAGGGCGGGGCTGGAATGGTCCCGCTCAGGCAGAAAGTCTGCTTGTGGGGGTGGGGCTGTCTGAGACCCGCAGTTTGGAGCAGGCCTCGCTTCTTTCCACCCTCCCCAACTCTGCAGCTACTCCTGGGCCTCTGCCAGCAGGCCAGACCACACGCCACCAGGCCTCCCCGGACTGTGATGCTGGCGGGGAGGTTCCCTGCACCGGAACGCCACCTGGGCTGGGTGCACGGCCTCCCTTTGGGGGGAGGGTTGCCCTCTAGGACACTGATCTGCCCCTGCAGGCACACACACCTCAGCGGGCTGTTCACAAATATCCCTTCTGTGCCCGGGGCAATGCTAGACCTCGATGCACGGCATGTGGTCTACAGGTCCGACTTCTGGGTCCCAGAGTTCAAACTGTATCCCCACCAGAGAGAGAAGTTCTGGTCCCAATTCACCCACAGGGAGCCCAAGCTGTGTCTGTGTCTCTCAGCCTCTGAGTCGACACCGTTCTCCTGGGAACACCGTGCCAGCAGCACCTGGGAGGGCTGGCGGGTAGGGAGCTCACAGTCTGAGTTCCCCTTAGTCAGCTGTAGGGTCCCAAAAGGGAAGGTCCCGTTCCCTGGAGGTGCCTCTGGCTGGTGGCTGTATTGTCTCTTTGGGCAGCCGGGGGGAGGTTTGGCGGAGGGGAGAAGGAGGCAATATGGCGCCTGCCGCGTGGCTCAGGTCTGTGCACACGGAGGTGCCCCGAGGTATTTGGGAATCTGGTGCCGTGTGCGCTACAGGCTCACCGCTAGCTGGCGGCGGCCGTGTCTGGGCTGATGTCCGCAGGTCTCTCCACCCGCTGGGGAACCCACCAGCAGTCCCAAATGCAGGGGAGGGGAAAGGTGATTTATCCACCTACCCTTCCCGCTGGTCTCTGGGCTGCTCCTGCAGTCTCAGCTTCTAGTTCTCCTCTGTAGCCTCCTCCCGTGGAGTCTCCTGGGGTCTCAGGTAACCCTCCTTCCGGCCCTCGTCTGCTGTATGCTTGCCTTCTTGCTTCTTTTTTCTAATTTCTGCTAGAATCTGTCTTTTCTGCAGAGACACTCTTTCTGGCGGTGTTTCTCGTCCGCCATCTTGATCCTCTTCTGAATTCTTTAATTATCTGAAAGGTTTTGGGTCCTAGAACTGTTATGGTTCATTTGGAGATGGGGCAGGTGATGGAGAGATTGATGGTGCAATTGGGGGCATTTCCACCCTCTTCATTATTCTACTCAAGGCAGAAATTATGGGCTCATGACAACATTTTGTCACTATCTCCTTTTACATTTTTTGGGCCACCAAGGAACAAATTTCTCTCCAATTTTCATAGAAACATACAAAGCAAACAAATATGCTTAGCTGCTGGTGTTCTGGATTCAAAGTAAGGTAAAAAGGAAGAAGGCCTGATGTCTGCTGAGTATTTTTTTTTCACTGAACCCGCCTGTTTCCAGTCCTGTGCCTGAGGGAATTATTGAATTCTCTATTCCTGAATAACTAATCTCTTTGTTTTCTCCAAAGAATAAAACCTCGGGGGTTTTCAAGGGCATATTGATTTCTAGGTGCATTCCCTTCTGCAGAACTTAAGTTGTAATTTTTATTCTGCTAAATCAGTTATCATTTTTCTGTTTGCTTTCTACCTCCCCAAGATCTGTTGAAATTGCTAGGGCATTTTTTTTTCCTTGCAAATTAGTAACAGGGTGACCATATAATTTTCATTTGGACCAAGACCTTTATTGTAAAGCCAAGTGATGTGGTAGAACTGTATTTCTTTCCGTGTGAATCTAATGCCATACCTCTTTGTGGTAGATTATTTGCAAACATAGCCTTCATCATTCTTCCCATGTTTATATGCACACCCCTTTGCAATATGACTTTGCTTTTCCTTCTATCAAGAGGTAGAGTTTATTTCTCCATCCCTTGAATCTGGGCTGGCTTTGTCCAGTGATGTTGAGGGACTTTCACATCTAGGCTTCAAAAGGTCCTATAGCTTTTCCTCTTATCCTTTTAATGCCATGAGACCGTTATGTAAAGAAGTCTGGACTAATTTCCTGTAGGTGAGAAACCACATGGAGAGGCAGAGAGGCCCAGTTAACAGCCAGCACAACCACCAGCCATATGCTTGAAGCCATCTTGGACCATATGACCCTTGCCAAACTTCCAGATGATGATAGCCACTTAAGTGACTACAGGAGAGAATAGCCAAAAAACCATCTAACTGAGCCTAGCCAAAATGCTAATCTACAGAATCAAGGGAAAATAAAATGGTTGGGTCAAGTCACTAAATTTTGTAGGGTAGTTTGTTACATAGCAACAGTTAACTGATACACTTTTTTATGTCACTCAAGGGAGAATATTTGAGAAAAACCAAATTACATTATGACTTGACTCTATAAGAGGAGTGATTTAAAAAAAAAATTAACACTGTGAATACTAAAGCATGCCCAGAAGTTGCGGTACCAATTAATGGCCACATGAAGGTAATTTTTGGAGTACGCTGGCTGTACTCCAGACTCTGAGACCACATGGATACTTAGCATTTGCCTGTCCGGGCACACATGTTACCATCATGGGTCTGTCTCCTCTCTCTTGGTCTGGACTTGCTCTGAACAGAGAGGGCCAGGGACGATGCGAGGGGATGGTTGGCTGGTAGCGAGGCAGGTATGTACACTGGTTAGTGGTCACCTGGGCAACCATCCTTTCAAGGTGGAGCCCACAGGAGACTCCCTGGAGCCAGAATGACTATTCAAGAGCTTAGTTTGGTGACTATATACCAGCAAGTCCAGAAATATTTTCTTATTTTGAATATTGGCTGAGCACAGGCCCTCCTGTACAGATTTATTACACACTTAAGGCAAACACATTTTTTATTGTGGTTGTACAACACAGGTATCATTCTGAATTGAAACACCTTCCTCTCATCAATAGAGAGTTAGTAATTGTCTTCTAGCTACAACTGATGGGGTGATTATCCTCATTCTGGTTCTTAGTTGTTTTCTTTTTTTTTTCATTTTTTGGTCAGTTTTTCCTCCTTTCCTCTTCATGTATGCATTGCAGGGAGCCTGCAGATCCCCTCCACATTTACTAAGTATCCAGCTATCATACTGCAATGGGCGTCTGCACAGGTCCACTAAACACACATAGCTCTTTAATACTTCTTATTATTTTTTTTTCTTTTTTTGACAGAGTTGCACTCTGTTGCCCGGACTAGAGTGCCGTGGCATCAGCCTAGCTCACAGCAACCTCAAACTCCTGGGCTCAAGCAATCCTTCTGCCTCAGCCTCCCAAGTAGCTGGGACTACAGGCATGCACCACCATGCCTAGCTAATTTTGTCTATATATTTTTAGTTGGCCAATTAATTTCTTTCTATTTTTAGTAGAGACGGAGTCTTGTTCTTGCTCAGGCTTGTTTCGAACTCCTGACCTTGAGCAATCCGCCCGCCTCGGCCTCCCAGAGTGCTAGGATTACAGGCGTGAGCCACCGCACCTGGCCAATACTTCTTATTTTTAAACCATGTTTGCATCTTCTTTTACTGGACTGTCTTTGTTGAATTTGTTTTTTCTTTTCCTGCTGTGTTCACTCATATCCGAAATGACATTGTTCTAGGCTTAGTTTTTCTTCTGCAGTACTCAGTATATTCAATGCACAGGGCACATTCTCTCATGCTTTAGTTACTGCCCAACCATGTTCATAACCTGCTGCTCAAGAGGAAGCCAATACACTGAGTGAGACAGAAGGAGTTACAGCAGAGGGAGTTCAATATCACAAGTAACATGTGAGGAGATAGGAGGAATTTCTTAAATCTGTCTCCCCAAGAATTTAAAAGAAAGGGCTTGTAAAGATAGTTTGGCAGGCAAAGGGCTAGGGAATTGGGTCTGCTGATTGGCTGAGGATGAACTCATAGGATTGGGAAGCAGAAATTGTCTTCTCATGCTGAGTCAGTTCCCAGGTCACAAGACCAGGTGAGTTTGTTCCTTGGGCCATTGGTCTGGTAGGGTCAGTTGGTCTGCCAGAATGCAGGGTCTGGAAGTTATCTCAAAGACCACCCAGTACAGGTGTCTTATATCTTAAGAAAAAAAAAAAAAAAGAAAAAAAAAAAAAAGACCACCCAGTTTCACAAGGTTGATGTTATCTATGGGAGCAATGAAGAAAGCTAAGAATCTTTATGACCATCAGCTATATGACTCCTGAGTAGTAAGCAATTATAGGAAAGCAAGCTAGGGAATAATTGCTGGTGACATGTGTGTGTGTGTGTATGTGTGTGTGTGTGTGTGTGTGTATATATATATATATATATATATATATACATATATATATATTAACTAAGCCTATACCTTTGCGGAGTTCAGGCCCCTACCACAGTTCCCACCTTGTGGCCCTTTATTAATTTTGTAAAGGGTGGTTTTACTTTCTCCAGGATAAACTGCATACCTCTTTTCCAATATGCACCCTGGAGAAAGGTCTCAGGTCTTCTGGCCACAGAGTTAAGTTGGATTCCATCTTTTTTCTCTGTTCACACTAATCATACTTGTTAGAGTCCTCACAGCCATTTCTTAGCAATAAGTTCTGAGTTTTATTGGCCTTAACTTTTCAGGAATGTTGCTTGCTGGTTAGTTTTTTGAAATTTACACCCAATTCCCTCTTTTCATGATGGGGAGACATCGGTGCGTCCCCTTGACGAGTAGGAAACAGAGCAACCACTTCTCCAGCATGTTTATGTGTGTCCCATGTCTAAGGCATCCTCCTTAACCTATCATGTGGGAACAAGATACACAAGTGCTTCCAAAGCTAGCTCATCACCCATACAGCTGCCGCTTCTCAAATAGGGGAGACTTGCAACATTTCTGGACTTTTAACTCTTTCCTGCCTACCACATGAAAATCACAGCATGTGATTTCAAAATTCTTCAAATCATAGTGTCATTTTTTTCAAAGTTCTTCCTTTCCTTCCCAAGGCTCACAGCTTAGACACAAAGAATATGAATATAATAAGCCGCTTAATAGAGATGGTGAAAGAGGGCGGAATAATTTCTTTGTGGAGAGGAAATGGTGCGACTGTTCTCAAGATTGCTCCTGAAACAGCTGTTAAGGTCTGGTCATATGAACAGGTAAAGCCATAGGGCTATGACGTTTACTAACAAGGAAAAGTCACTGCATTTTATTAAAAAAAATCACCTCAGATTATTACAAAATGAAGGGGAAGAGTTGCTAATGTCTATATTGGAACACTATCATAATATTAAGTTGTTATGCTATTATATAATTATATTAATATTAATTCCTAATCATAATCAACACTTATTGGATGTCTGCTGTATGCCAGATCTTATTCTAGGCAAAAAGAGGTACAAAACGAAGTCTCTACTGTTAGGGTTGGGGCCTCTTATCTACTACGCATGGCTTTATTTAGGTACTGGGTAATGTGCATCATAGTTTTTGACTATGAATTAAATGCCCAGGTATTCACTGATATTAAATAGGTTATAAGCCCTCTGAGGATTCTAAGTACTGACATAACTTTGACCTCTTATTTACACATTATAATTATAATGCTGCTTTCTCTTAATACTGTTTTTAAAATAAATCTCTTCCTTTTGGTCTTATTATTTCCCCCATAAAAGATATTTTACATGAATAATTTGGGCCTCTACAGGAAAACTCAAATAGTATTCTAGGTTCACTGAAGTCTAACAGGAATACGGTTGAATAGAGGGAGACAAAATGAAGCAAAGGGCAGAGCAAGGCTTTAGAGGCTACAGACTTGCAGTTGAACTTCAGCTCTGGCACATTCTAGCTGTGTGGACAGGTTCCTGTAATGTCTCTGCACTTCAGTTGTCTCACCCATAAGATGTGGAACATAATGTCTACTTTGCAGGGGCCTGGCACGTAGTAAGCACTTAGTAAGCAGTGCTCACGAGTATCACATACAGCACAACGCAGGATAATGTGGGGAAATGATACGGAGAGACCCAAACTAGGTTAAAGGCCTCCTTGAGGAGGAAATGTTTAAGTTGAAACCCGGTAAGTGGAAGATTTCTAGTCAAAAGACAGAGGAAAGAATGTTCCAGGCAGAGGGAACAACATGTTCAAAGTCCTGGAGGCAAAAGGTGAGGTGTGTTTGAGGTACAAAAAGAAGCTCAGTGTGGCTAGAGCAGAGATGGTGGCTAATGGTGAGGCTGGAGAGGCAGGCAGGTGAAGTGAGGAATGTGCATGCGGAAGACGGGTTAGGAGGGTCTGCAATAACCCAGGTGAGAGATTAGAGGAGGGGGAAGATGTATGTTCAGTTTGGGGCATGTGGAGCTTAAGGTGCCTATATCAGTTAGGAATCTTTAGGTTATAAAGAAGAGAAAATAGCTTACTTACATTTTAAAGGGAATTTATTTTCTCACATAACTGAAAAGTCGAGAAATCAGGTGGACTTCTGATGAGGCTTCATTTAGCACTTGAACCATGTCACCAAAAACTGTATTTCTCCTCATCTTCTCTCTCTGTCTTCCACTGAATGCTTTATCCTAACACATGCTTCCCTCGTGGTTGAAAGATGATTGCCAGAAGCTTCCAGGGGTTTGTGCTTCTTTGTTCATGTGTAGAAGGAAGAGAACTGATTCTTCTTGCAGTTCTCTCAGAAAAGCAGGAAGCCTCTTTTGAATCTTAAGTCACCCCAAAACATTTCCTTGAGTCTCACTGGTCTAGATTGTGTCATATATCCACTCTTGAACTAATCACTATGGCAGAGAGATAGGATGCAGTGATTGACTTGCAACAAGAAGGTAAAACAGAGACCACAAAGGCCAAGGAAATATGTCACTGAAAACCCATTCTGTAAGGAAAAGCTTATTATCATTAAATATGCAATAACAATGACCACTTCTTCAATTTCTGTGTGGCAAGTCCATTACACGTTTGCATTATTGCATGTAGTCTTCACAACAATCCTGCAAAGTAGGAACTGTGGGTACAATAGTGACCACTATAGACAAGGAAGGCACTTGCCTTCATTTTCTGGATGAAGAAACTGAGTTATGGAGAAGATAAGTGACTTTTCCTGTATCACTCAGTAAGTGATTATGCCAAGATTGAAACTTGGGTTTGTTTGTCCTTTCATATTGCTTTATTAAAATTTGACACAGTTGCCATCAGAACTTATTGCATAAGATTCGTAGTAGTTTCCATCCCAGTGCTTCTATTCTCATTATATTAATATTAATTCCTAATCATAATCAACACTTATTGGATGTCTGCTGTATACCAGATCTTATTCTAGGCAAAAAGAGGTACAAAATGAAGTCTCTACTGTTAGGGTCGGGGCCTCTTAACTAATATGCATGACTGTATTTAGGTACTGGGTAATGTGCATCATAGTTTTTGACTATGAATTCTATGAATTAAATGCCCAGGTATTCACTGATATTAAATAGGTTGTAAGCCCTCTGAGGATTCTACGTATTGACATAACTTTGACCTCTTATTTTCCCAGTATAAGAGGTTTCTTATTAAAGAAGGATACAAATTAGGAATTCTTGAGAAATTTGCTTCTGCTGGTTTGGCTGGTGCGACTTCACAGCTTTTAATTTACCCTTTGGAGGTAAGTACTGTTGAACAAATTATGATTTAATTGCTATCTTTAATGAAAATTATGGTCAACTTCTTTTCAAATGGGCTATGGTCCTCTTATAAGTAGGACTTATACGGAGCAGGGAAAATCTGCTGCCAGAGCAGTGTCACCAGAGCTGTCACATCAAAGCTGGTGTTTCTGTTGATGGGTTTTTTTTTTTTTTTTTTTTTGCATTTTCTTTCCATATGAACTTTAGAATGATTTGCCAAGTTTCTTTAACAACAACAACAAAAAAATCTCCAAAACATTCAATTGGGATTTTGCCTCTAGTTGTACTGAATGAATTTTGAGAAGGAATAGCAATTACAATATTGAATCTTTTTGTCCAGGAAGGAGATATGTCTGTCTCCAGAGCTTCTGTTACAATCTTTGAAAAAGTTTTATGATTTTTTCATATAGGTCTTACACATTGTGAGGCTTTTATATTACTAGATACTTGTGATATTTGATCCTATTAATGTATTCCATTATATTTTCTTCGTGTTTATTGCTGGCATATGTGAAAATTCTTGAATTTTTGTGTTTAACTTGTATCTAACCACTCTACATTACTCGTATTAATTATAATAATCTGGAAGCTCTAAAGATTTTTTTTAATCTTTGTTTTTCTGAAATTTCGCCATGAATGTTTAGATTTGGAACTTTAAAGCTTGTATTTTTTAAGCCCTGGAAAATTCTGCTATTAAATTTTGAATTATATTTTTCTTTTTGAACTTTCTATATTCTTCTTCTGGAACTCTTATTTGATGGATATTAGATTCCTAATGATATTATCCAAAAATCTATGGGTTTTTTATTCTTAGACTTTTTCTTTACCTTTCAGAATTGACTTGATATGTCAGTCATAAATTTACTCCTTATCTGTTTCCATGCTGCTCTTCAGTCCATTTTGTTGAATTGTTTACAATGATAAAAATTTAATTTCCAATGTGTCTAGTTTTTTTTATAAAAAGTTTTTTTCCAATGTGTCTAGATGCAGTATACTCTTGAATTGCTCTCAGGATTTTAATTGTACTTATTTTAAAATATTCTTTAATTTGTTAAATTTATTTTTTCTAACTTCCAAGTTAATGAATATAAGACTGCACAGTGACCTGGATTAAACACGAAAGTGATTAATTTTGAGGCTGCAAGTCAGAACAGACAGCTATAAGTAGTTTAAATATGGTTTGAATATTTTTTCTATAATGTTGATTCTTTTTTACTCCTTTGTAAATCACAAGGATGAAACATCCAACTTTTAAAAACAATATAGATTTTGTATTTGGTGTTTTAATTGTAAGGCTATTTTCCCTTAAGGTCTAAACTGGCTTGTGTATTTGTGTCACACTGTTTACATATAACCTAGGATAAATAGTACTTCCTTTAGATTATGTAGCTTCACATTTGCACAGTAGGGAGACAGTGAATTTAGTAGGAAATAAGGAGATTAGACAATAAACAATAAATGTTGTAAATAAGTAAATTATATTTAGAAGGTGAAAAATACTTTTTAACTATTTAAAAATACTATTTAAGGTGATAAGTGCTATGAGGGAAAGGAAAAATTAGAAGAGTGGAAGGGAAAGCAGAAAAGAAGTATTGGGGGTGGGAATTGCAGTTTTGGAGAGGTTGGGGCAAGCTCTCTCAGAGAGTGGCTTTTGGGCAAAGACTTGAGGGAATAGCCAGACGGGTACCTGGGGGATGAGCACTCCAGGCAGAGGGAACAGTGCAGAGGCTTTCAGGTGGGACAGCGTCTGGCTGCCTCCAGGAGCAGTAAAGGGAGCGGGTGGAGCAAAGTGCGTGGTGGAGGAGGGGGCAGTTGTAGAGGTGGGAGTACAGTAATGGAGGAGGAAGGTCAGATAGACCCAAGTAAGCTTTGCCTCTTACTCTGGTGATATGGGGAGCCAGTGTTGGAGTAGATGACCTAAGTCTCCTTATAAAAGGATCACTCTGGCTGCTGTATTGAGAATAGATTGTAGTTGGCAAGGGAGAAAGTTAGGAAGCAGTGGGCCTGATCCAGTAGAAAGAATGCAGTCATTCAGACCCTGGTGTTAACAGTGAAGTTGGTGAGATTCTGGATGTATTTTGAAGGTAGGACCAATATGATTCCCTGGTGGATTAGACATAAGGCATAAAAGAAAGAGGAGATGAGGATAACCTCAAGTTTTTCAACTTGATAACTGAGAGAAGGAAGATACCCTCAATTAAGATGGGGAAGGCTGCAGGTAGAGCAGGTTGAGAAGGGAGATCAAAAGTTCAGTTTTGGAAATCTTGATCAAACAAAATCTTTATTGACTTATATGATGAGTATAGGAAATAACTTTTATCTGTAGCTATTCACAAGATACAAGTGTATACATGTGTGCAGATGTGCGTGGGATCCTATTATAATATGAGTTTATTAGGGTACTAAGGTTGGGGAGGGGGCTTGTAAGAGCCTCTCTTTTTTTTTAATGGTTCCTTATCTGAGTCATAGTAGAATAGCTGTGACTATACTCTTGTAATTTGGGCAAAAAAAGATAGTGCTGCAGGGCGTGGTGGCTCACGCCTGTAATCCTAGCACTCTGGGAGGCCGAGGCGGGCGGATTGCTCAAGGTCAGGAGTTTAAAACCAGCCTGAGCGAGACCCCGTCTCTACCATAAAAATAGAAAGAAATTAATTGGCCAACTGATATATATATCAGCCGGGCATGGTGGCTTGTGTCTGTAGTCCCAGCTACTCGGGAGGCTGAGGCAGGAGGATCGCTTGAGCCCAGGAGTTTGAGGTTGCTGTGAGCTAGGCTGACGCACTCACTCTAGCCTAGGCAAGAAAGTGAGACTCTGTCTCAAAAAAAAAAAAAAAAAAAAAGATAGTGCTGACTCAGATACTCGATCTTCTTATAAAGTTAAGTTCAGAAAATTGGCAAAAGAATTTAAGCACTATATTTGTAAAATACTTATATGGAAGACTAAAATATCCCAGGGAATAGTAGGAAAATATATAGATACACTGTCATGGAAAATACAGTTTAACCTAAGATTGCTTTCTCTTTTTACTTCTTTAATAATAGATGAGCTCTGTAGCCCACAATTTAAATTAAATTTAGCCCAGAATGTCCTGAGTTGGATAACTGTTCAATGACCTTAAAATATTACTTTCTTTCACATTTAGGTTTTAAAAACTAATTTGGCCGTAGGTAAAACTGGACAGTACTCTGGGTTGTTGGATTGTGCCAGGCATATTTGGAAGCTGGAAAAGGGTAGAGGCTTTTACAGAGGCCTTGTTCCTAGTCTTTTGGCTGTCATTCCATACGCGGGCATAGATATTACTACTAACGAGGTGAGTTTGTTGCCATGATGGACTTACAACAGGTTTATTAGACCTGAAAATATAATATAATTTTTAAACTTTTTATCAAATCATACATTTAAGGCAGAGTTAATACAAAAGACATTTTTCACAGTCTGTTTTGATGGTTTAGGAATATAAGCTATAATAATTTCCTAAAAGTGTTGACCTCAGTCTCCTCTCTTCTCACCCTGCACATAACCTCCTTGGTGACTCTGTTGCTGGCTTTCAGCACAGCTGGTATACCAAACACTCACAGATCTGTTTTTTTTAACTTCTCTTCCGATCTCCAGACCACCAAGGAGATCGAATGACATTGTGACATTGTTTTGCTTTCCATATTTTCTAGTGTCAGAAGTCTGATTTGGCTCATGTTACTTTTGCTCTGGCTTTCCTTGTGAATAATTTCTGGTAATAATGATCTACTCTAAATCAATAGGCACTTGATTCTCAAAAAAAAAAAAAAGTAGGGGAAGAATGTAAGTTTATTTGGAGTGGGAGAGGAATGCAAAATAATGATGACCTATTTTCTACATTAGTAGTGTCCAGTTTCACTTTGGTCACTCTCTGGAACTAATTCTGACAGACCATTGAGCACGGCCTTCCTCACCCAACTCCCTCCCTTTTGGTAATCCTGAGTACCTTCTGCCCCACCAGACTTCTTATCAGTGGTTAGGATAGTCATTAAGATCATGGGCTCAGACTGCTGAAATTCACATTCTGGCTCCAAGCTTTACTTAACCTCTCTGTGCTAGAATTCTCTCACCTTTAAAATGAGAATTATTGATTCAACAGGTAATTATTGAGTGGCATGTACCACATTCTGTACTAGGTGCACCAAACACAAGAGAAATTTCTGTCCTTGGGGAGCTCATGTTCTTTTACTGGGGGACAGACAGTAAACAATTGAAACTTATAACATGTTATATAGTGACAAGGGGTATGGAGAAAAAGCAAGGAAGGACAGTACATAGTGTTAGGCATTGAAATTTTAGAGGGCATGATCTGGGAAGATATTCCTGAGAAGGTGAGTTTTGAGTAAAGACTTGAAGGAAGTGGGTGTGAGCAGTGCGTACATTCACAGGGAGAACATTTAGGGTGGGTGCATGCCTGTGCAGCTGGAGTGGAGTGAGCCAGGAGAGAATAGTAGCTGAGGTCAGAGAGCAAAGAACTTATAGTGTAATAATAGGACCTATCTCATGGTTTTTTGTTTGTTTTTTTTTGAGACAGAGTCTCGCTTTGTTGTCCAGGCTAGAGTGAGTGCCATGGCATCAGCCTAGCTCACAGCAACCTCAAACTCCTGGGCTCAAGCGATCCTTCTGCCTCAGCCTCCCGAGTAGCTGGGACTACAGGCATGTGCCACCATGCCTGGCTAATTTTTTCTATATATATTAGTTGGCCAATTAATTTCTTTCTATTTATAGTAGGGGGTCTCGCACTTGCTCAGGCTGGTTTTGAACTCCTGACCTGGAGCAATCCGCCCGCCTTGGCCTCCCAGAGTGCTAGGATTACAGGCGTGAACCACTGCACCCAGCCTCTCATGGGTTTTTTAAAAAGTGAAATTAAGTTAATATATGTGAAATGATTAGCTCTCAGTGTATGAAAAGTGCTCTATGAGTGTGAGCTATCATTATTATAAATTATGCCTTAGAGATAGTGTCTCTCTCTCCTGCTAAGTCTGACTATTCTACTTTAGCTGTTGATCCAGGTCTTTGTTCCTTCCCCTTTTCTCAGCTGGCAATCACCTTCAGGTTTCTTTTTCAAAATAAAAACTAAACACAGCAAAACACAATTTTTCTCTTTAACTCTTCCTCCATCACTAGCGACTACTATCACTTTCTCACTCCTTTTACGTCCAAAGGATGTGACGTATCATCTATACATTATTTCCTCATTGTTTATTCTCTCCTTAACCTACTGCAGTTTGATTTCTAATCCTTGATCTGCAGTTAAAAAATTAATAAACACTTCTATGTAAGCAAAGTGTTTGTACTCCCGTGATATTCTGAAATGAAAAATAAATAAATTTAAAAAATTGTAACTGAATCTGACAATTAGCTAAGTTTGGGAAACATTAAATAAAGAAAGCCACAAAAGCAGTGTCCTGTTTTGTTAGGGCTGCCATAACAGAATGCCATAGACTAGGTAGCTTAAGCAGCAGAAACTAATCACATTTCTGGAGGCTGGAATCCTCAGATCAAAGTGTTGGCAGGTTTGGTTTCTTCTGAGATATCTTTCTTTGGCTTGCAGATATGGTCACTTTCTTGATATGTCCTCATATAGTCTTTCCTCTGTGTGTATACGTGTCTGTATCCAAATTTCCTCTTCTCATAAGGACACCAGTCATATTGCATTGGAGCCCACCCTAAAGACCTCATTTTAACTTAATTACCTCTTTAAAGACTTTGTCTACAAATATAGTTACATTTTGAGGTACTGGGGGTTAGGAATTCTGCATATGAGGTTTGAAAGGCCACAGTTCAGCCCATAACAAGCAGTCAGTGGCATTGTCTAGCATTTTTAGATATTAAAATGATTATTTTGATATTTCAAAGCCATGCAACCAGTCATCTAAAGCATAGTTTGGCATCTCTGAGGAGAAGGGAGTCCCGGACACCCTTTCTGAGGGTCTCTAATGTCTACACTTTTTTCCTAATGCTAAGACATTATTTACACTTGTCAATCTCATTCTCTATAAGCATAGAGTTTTCCAGAGGCTATGATGTATGATGACATCCTTACTTTGATGAGTGATAAGGTATGTTTAGAAATTTTTCTCAGTTTTCATATCTAATATGATAGATACTATTGATAGATAAAACCCATATAAATAAAAACTTTGGGGGTATTTTAAATAATTTTTAAGAGTGTAAAGGAGTCCTGAAACAAAAATATCACTGTTAGAGGAAATGCAATTTGACAAAAATAGGCTTCCCTATCTTGGATAGGCAATCGGGGCTCTGATAGTCCAGGGTGGGTAGTCAGTTTCCATCACTAAGGTTCTCTGATTTCTGGTTATTTGTACAGAGAGAACACCTCTGGATAAATCTGATCGATAGGTTGGTGCTTAGGGAAAGATGATATATTTAGATAATTTGGGTCCTTGAAATATTGAGGGCTGTATTAACTTTAACTGCATTAAATTACAGCAAAAATTGGCAGTTTGTGAGTGTATGTCCTATGGCTTTTACTTCTTTGTACCAGATTGCTGCATCCTGTATTTTATACTCTTTGATATAATGTAACACAGATGTTAGCAGTGTATGCCTATGGTGAGAAAAGATTATTATTATTTTGGTTCATCTTGTAGTAATTGTTAAAGTGTATTCTTACTTTGTTCTTTATCAGACGTTGAAGACTTATTGGCTAAAAACCTTTGCAGAAGACCCTAAGTTGGTGATTTTGCTGGGATGTAGTGCCTTTTCTAACTTTTGTGGGCAGTTTGTCAGCTACCCCCTGTTATTAGTGAGAACTCATATGCAGCTCCAAGGTGAGTTTTTGTGAGAAGGTTGCCCATGTAAAAAGTTCTATGTACTTTAGAGATTTCTTTTTTACTTCTGTTCTGAAGAGTATCTTAGAATCCTCCTCACTTCCATCATTCAATACTGCCATTTTTGAAAAAACAAAACTAGGAAATTCTCCTCATATGAGTAGTAATGGTGCTATTTATTTCATATTTAGTTTTGGAAATCAAATCTGAACTTTATAACCACGTAAAGATGAAATACACTGCCTTGGGTGGTTATGAATGCCTCCACATTGGAGGAATGTAGTCTATTCTTGAACTAGAGTTCATAAGATTCTGATAATAAAGGATTCAGAATTTAGACATCCATCTAAATGGATTTAAAAGTTTTTTTGCAACATGAGATGCAGTGAATCTATTTCACTTAAAAAGAACTCAATGAAATACTTGCTGATTATTAGGAAAAAAATTATTTCTTGAATTTAGGCTGGGTGTGGTGGCTCACACCTGTAATCCTAGCACTCTGGGAGGCTGAGGTGGGAAGCTTGCTTGAGCTCAGGGATTCAAGACGAGCCTGAGCAAGAGTGAGACCCTGTCTCTCCAAAAAATAGAAAAATTAGCCAGGTGTGGTGGCAGGCACCTGTAGTCCCAGCTACTTCCGAGGTTGAGGCAGGAGGATTGCTTGACCCAGGAGTATGAGGTTGCAGTGAGCTATGATCATGCCACTTGCATTGTATCTTGGGCAACAGAGCGATACTCTGCCTCATAAGAAAAATTATTTATTGGATTTAGAAAAAGAAGATTGTATATTTCCCTTCATGGAAGTTGATTGTAGGAATTTTTACAGTTGCATGTACCCCACCCATGTAATTACCAACTAGATCAATACATAACATATTTCCAGCACTCCAGAATTCTCCTTTGTGCTCCCTCAGTGCCCCTACCCCAAGGTAATTATTATTCTGACGTTTATCATCATTGATTAGTTTGCCTATTCTTGAAAACTGTGTACTAAGAGAGTCATCTATGTTGGTGCAGGTCATCTTTTTCTTTGCTATATAGTATTTCATTATATGAATACCACATTTTATTTGTCCATTCTACTGATGATGGACACCTAGGTTGTTTCTAATTCAGGGCCATTATAAATAAAGCTGCTATGAACGTTATGTACTTGTGTTTTGGAAAACATAAACACTCATTTCCCTCAGGTATATACCAGGATAAGAACTGTTGGGTCATAGGATAAATGCATATTTAGCTTTAGTAGGTATTTGCCAAATTGGTTTTCCAAAGTGTTTGTATCAATTTGTACTATAACAGTAACGTGTAAGATTTCCTGCTGCTCTACATCTTTGCCAACACTTGTTATTGTCAGTCTTTTAATTAATTAATTAATTATTATTATTTATTAGAGACAAGGTCTTGCTCTGTTGCCCGAGCTGGGGTGCAGTGGTGCAATCATAGCTCACTGCTGCCTCAAACTCCTGGGCTCAAGCGATCCTCCTGCTTCAGCCTCCCGAGTAGCTGGGACTACAGGTGTGTGCCACCATACCTAACTAATTTTTCTCATTTTTTTGTAGAGATGTGGTCTTGCTATGTTGCCCAGGTTTGTCTGAAACTCTTTGCCTCATGTGATCCTCCCACCTTGGTCTCCCAGAGTGCTGGGATTATGGGCATGAGGCCACTCTTTTCCTTAGATATTCTGATGAATGTGCAATAAAATCTCATTGTGTCTGTCATTTGCATCTTTTGATGACTAATAATATTTAGCAACTTTTTATATGATAATTTGCCATTTTGACATCCATTTCTGTAAAGTACCTGATTAAATGTTTTGCCCATTAAAAAAAATTAGATTACCTTTTTTTTTCTTTCTGATTTGTAGGAGTTCTTCATATATCCTAGGTAAGAGTTCTTTTTTTTTTTCAAATTTATATATTACGAACATCTTCTCCAAGTCTGTGGCTTGTATTTTCACTTTTTTAGTGGTATTTTTTTTTCATGCAATAATAGTAATTTATTCCAGCTGTGTGAAATATACTAGTGGTATTTTTTGATGAACTTAATTTTTATGTTCTTAATTTTAACAAAGTCCAAATTATGAATCTTTTCTTTTGGTCTTTTGTTTAACACACTACCTATACCAAGATCACAAATTTTTCAGTTTTCTTATAGAAAATTTATTATCTTATCTTTTCATATTTTGACCTGCAATCCATTTAGGATATTTTGTGTGTATTTATTGTTTGAGGTAGAGGTCAAAATTAAATTTTCTTTCCATGTAGATACCCATTGACCCAGCACAATTCATTGAAAATATCCATTCTCTCCCACTGAATTGGGGTAGACCAGTTACTCCATATGCATGGGCCTGGTTTGGAATGCTTCACTCTGTTCCATTGGACTATTTGTTACTCCTATCAGTAGTCAACTGTTTCAATTACTGTAGCTTTATAAGAAGTCTTCATATCAGATATTATAAGTTCTCCAATATTCTTTAAAATTATCTTGGTAATTCTTGGTTCTTTACATTTTTACAAAAATTTTAAAATGATCATGTCAATCCCCTCAAAAAATATCCTCTGAGATTGATTTGAATCTATAGATCAACTTGAAATGTTTACATCTTAAAAGTCAATGAATATGATATTTCCCTCCATTTTCTTAGGCCTTACTTAATTTTTCCCAGTAATGTTTTATAATTTTCAGTGTAGAGGTGGAGTAAATCTTTTGTTAGGTGAATTTCTAGGTATTTGACATTTTGGATATTTGTATAAGTGGGATTTTACACAAAAGTCGTTTTCTAAGTTATTTTTGTCAGTTTTTAGAAGTACAGTTTAGGCTGGGTGCGGTGGCTCATGCCTGTAATCCTAGCGGTCTGGGAGACTGAGGCGGGAGGATTGCTCAAGGTCAGGAGTTCGAAACCAGCCTGAGCAAGAGTGAGACCCATCTCTACTAAAAATAGAAATAAATTTTTATTGGCCAACTAAATGAGCTGGGCATGGTGGCACATGCCTGTAGTCCCAGCTATTCAGGAGGCTCAACCAGCAGGATCGCTTGAGTCCAGGAGTTTGAGGTTTCTATGAGCTAGGCTGATGCCACGCCACGGCACTCTAGCCAGGGCAATAGAGTGAGACTCTGTCTCAAAAAAAAAAAAAAAAAAGAAGTACAGTTGGTTCTAGATCATTGATCTTGTATCCAGCAATTTTGCTAAACATATATATTGTGATAGTTTATCTGTCTTTTTTTTTATATTATATGTATATAATCATGCCTTCTGTGAATAATGATAGTTTTAATATAGTAACTATATATATATATAAGATAATTTTCAATCTTTTTCTTTTCTAGTATATGAATTTAAAGTTTGAATTTCCAAGTACTGCTTTACCCATTCTCCATAAACTTTGATATATAATATTCATTATTATTCATTTCAAAATACTGTCTAGTTTCCATTGTGATTTCTTTTTGACCCATTAGATTTTCTGAATATATTTTAAAATTTACAAATATTGGGATTTCCAATTATCCTTCCAACTTCGAACTTCTATTTTAATCATACTGTGGTCAGAGAATGTGCTCTGTATGATTTCAATTCTTTGAAATTTATTGAGACTTGTTTTATTGGCCTACAATATGATCTATTTTGGTAAATGTTAATTGTATACTTGAAAAGAAAGTGGATTTTGAAGTTGTATTCAGTTTCCTATATATGTGTTCTATAAGATCAGTTAGTTAAATGTGGTTATTCAATTGTTTTTATCCTTACAAATGTTTTTGTATGTTTTCTTTTGGTTACAGAAAGTGGTACTTTTAAATCTCTAACCATGATTGTGGATTTCTCTATTCCTCCTTTAATTTTGTCAACATTAGCTTTATATATTTTGAAGCGTGTGTTATTATGTGTATACAAATAGGATTGACCGTTTTACTAATATAAATGTCTTTATTGCTAGTAAATTTTGCCTTTAAAGTCTACTTTGTCTGATATTAATGTAGTTACAATAGCTTTCTTTGGTTATGTTTTGGTATAGTTTTAAAATACTGTGCTTTCAGCTTTTCTCTGTCTTGTAATTAGTTGTCCATTTTGAAAAGCACATAGTCAGATTTTAAACAATCTAGTGTATTTTAAAAAGTCTTAGTGTTCAGGACATTTATATTTTAAATTATTGTAATAGTTGGTTTAAGTAGAGACCACATATTATCTTGCTACTTATTTTCTATTGATATATATGTTCTTTCCCTTCCTTTCTTTCTTTTTTGGCTTCCTTTTGAATTAATCAGATATGTTCATTATTTCTTCTCTATTAGCTTGTTGGTTATATATATATATATATATTTTTTTTTAATGGTTACCTTGAGATTATAATAGGAATCCTTGTTAGTTACAGCTGAGCTTACATGAGTATTTTTATTGATAATTTTAAACTTAATCTACACTGCCCCTTTTGTGTGACTGTTGTCATATATTTACTTTAGAATGTATTTTAAACTCAGAAGACATTATTGTTTTAAATCAATATTCATTTATATTTCTTCTTTTTGTTTGTCTGTTTCCTTCCTAAATTTCTTTGCTTCCACCTGGGATCGTTATTCTACTTAAATGTGTCCCTTTAGTATTTCTTCTAAACATATTCTTCTGCTAAACATATTCTCTTAGCTTTTGTTTGTCTCTTTTTATGGCATATTGAAGGCATTATTCCAATATCTTCTAGATTCCATTGCTTTTGATGAGAAATTTGCCATGGGTTATATTGCTGCTCTTTTAAGGTGCTTCTTTTTCTTTCATTTTCTTAATGATTTTAAGATTTTCACTTTATCATTGGTTTTCAGGAGTTTGACCATGATGTGCCTAAAATGTAGTTGGCTTTCTGTTTACTCTTCTTATGGTTTTAAAATCTGTGATTTGATGGCTTTTGTCAATTTTGAAAATATTTCCAGCAAAAATTCTTGAAATATTGCTCTACCTACTCTTTCTCTTTTCTCCTTATGGTTTTCCAGTTACATACATGCACACTTATATCTTTTCCACATGTCCCATATATCCTTGTGTTTTTTTCTGTGTCTCCTTTAAAAATTATTAAAAATTTAATATATGAATTGCCTGTGGTCTTATTGGTTTTTATTGTCTTTTTTCTCTGTAGGTTTTGAGTGTTTTCATCCTGTTTTTTTTTAGCATGCTTCATTATATTTGCTTGAATGATGAACATTTTTATGAAAAGTTGTATATTGTGGGTGATGTATGTTTTAGACTTTTGCTGGGATGATGTATTTCAGCTTTACCTTTCTCTATGGTTCTTACTCCTAGATAGCAACCCTTATTGGGTATTACCTGAAAGCCTAGAGTGATTACCAAGGCCCCTGCACCTTATTGAATTTGAACTATAACCTCCGTCTACCCAGAACTGTACCACTGTTAAAATCTCCCGCTATATGTTTAGCTTTTGGCTCTTTTTTTTTCTGCTGGGTTTCTTGGTTCTTATCTTGTGTAGCTTTAGATTTGGCAGTGTCTCAGCACAGAGATTTTTGGCTTCACTTCACTAGTAGTAACTTTAATTCCAAATTAAAGACATGCTCCTCATGTCTCAGGCACTTTGGCATTCTTGAGCTCCAACTTCTGTCTCCTTAGCTCAGTAACACTTCTGTTTTTCTTCTGAAATACTTACTATCTGGCCAATAACTTGGACTATTCTTCCCTGCTGGAAATAATCAAATCCCTAAGGAAAAACAAGGGTGAAGGTATTGCTTACCTCTGAGTACTTTTCTTTTCTTTCTAGTCTCACTTGCATTGTTTGCTCTCCCATAACTTTAAACAGTCACTTCGTGTGTTTGGTTCATTTTTTTTTTTTTTTTTTTTAAGAGACAAGGTCTCCTTAGATTGCCCAGGCTGGTCTTGAACTCCTGGGCTTAAGATATTCTCCCAGCTCAGGCTCCTGAGTTGCTGAGATTACAGGTGTGAATCATCACACCCTTGTTCACCTTTTAACAGTTATTTTTATTTTGAGAGTTTGTCTAATGCAAACTACTCAGTCATAACTAAAATTAAAAATTATCCGTTGTTCTTTCAACATATCCACATTAATTTCTGAGCTTTTCTGTGTTTTCTGGAAAAAGATGTCTTACGATCACTTGTATTTTCCCTGCCCTCTAACCTGTAGTCAACTGTTTTTTCTTTCAGTGAGTAGTGATATTTCAAAATCAATATCTGAGTGTTAGGATCAGCAGTGGATATTAAAACCATTAAGTTAAAGAGAGTTAGGCAATAGTATAATATGTTCACATGGTGTCAAGGTATTATCCATCAGATTTCTTCCTGATTGCAAAGAGGAAAAAATACTTTTATAATGGAGAGACTTAGCATTGATAACAGTTAAAAAAAACCCCCAAACCCTGGCATTTATATGCTTCCTGATGTAGTATAATACGAATTGCATGGCATCTCCTATGAAGTATTTTTGCCAAAAATGTTTTATTGACATCTGACCATGCATTTACACCTATAGGAAATACAGGGGATGGAGGAACAAGTTAAATAATACCATTAGGCAACAACCAGACAAACCCAGAATGTGGGATATTCTATGACAATTGACCTGGACTCCTCAAAAACTCATTGTCATAGAAAAAAATGGTGGTGGTGGTGGTGGTGGGCTGGTACTCGTCTTGATTAAGAGAATAAAGAAACATCACAATCAAGTACCATGGGTGAATTTTGTTAGGATATCAGCTTGAAAAAAATCTATAAATGGCATTTTGGGGGCAGTTGGGAAAATTTGAATATGGAATGGTTATCTATGGTATAGAGATTTTTCTTTCTTTCTTCTTCTTTTTTTAAATGAAACAGAGTCTTACTATGTTGCCCAGCTAGCCTCAAACTCTAGGGCTCTGGCAGTCCTCCCACCTCAGCCTCCCAAGTAATAGAGAAATATTTTTAATTTTCCAAGGTGTAATTATGATATTATGGTTATGTAGGCTAATGTCGTAGTTTTTAGGACATGTCTGAATATTTAAGGGTGAAGTGTTATGTCTGTGACTTACTTTCAAAATGGCTCAGACACACATATGCACACACATTTATATAAGTATAGATAGAAGAGAGGAAGACAAAACGTAAGTATGGCAAAATGTCAAATCTTTAATCTAGGTGGTGAGTGTACAAATGTTCATTGTGCTATTCTTTCTGGAGTTACAATTTTCATAGTAAGTTGGGGGAAGTCAATGGGGAAAGTAGGTTGACATTAGGAAAAAAGTAAGCAGGTTTGATATTCCATTATAAAATTATAGGAATTGGAGGGGATGTTAGTTTCTGATTAAAAAATGCAAAAGAAGTGCATATAGTAGTAGAACATTCTCTAAGAAATTCCTTGGCAAGTATTTTCTAAATTTTCAAAGAACCTTCTCTAGATTTTAGAGGAATTATTTAGTTTTGGGAGTGGGGTGGGAGGAGGGATGGAATATTTAGACTAAAATAGGGAAAGTCATACTTTTCAGTACGCTACTGATTTTTACTCAATTTAGCTATTAATACATTAGTTTTGAGAACATAATATAAGAATTAGAGAGGAAAATGCTAGCTAAAGAGTTTGAAAAATTGATGTTGCCAGGCACTGTGCAATGTGCTAGATATATGGGAATTGGGTGAGCAAAAGGAAACTGGTCCCTGTCATGAAATTGATAGTCTTGTAGGGAAGATAGATATTAATTAAACATTAATACAAGTATATAGTTATAAACTGTGATTAGAGGTACTGTGTTTCCCTGAAAATAAGACCTACCCATAAAATAAGCCCTAGCAGGATTCCTAAACATTTGCACAATATAAGCCCCCCACCCCGAAATTAAGACCTAGTGATGGGCGTGGCTGCACAGCGTGTCTGCACAACCCATGCTTTTTGTAACGGAGCGGTAAAGAAGATGAGCAGCCCTTCTCATCTGCCCCATCGTGACAGCTACCATCGTAGAGGTGACCGGAAAGGTGCAGGCAGCCCCACCAACAGGTCGGCTCCCCCTGTCAGGTACCGGCCATCCTGTGCTTGCTGCAAGCTGAGGCTTTGAGAAAAAATAACACATTCCCTGAAAATAAGCCCTAGGGTGTCTTCTTGAGGAAAAATAAATATAAGACCCTGTCTTATTTTTGGGGAAACATGGTATAAAGAAAAAGCAGAATTCTTTAAGGGCTGTAATGGGGCATCTGAGTTCTGGAAAGACTTTCCTAGGTAAGTGTTTCTTGAACTGAGAGCTGAAGGCTGAGGGAAGTTAAATAGGCAAAGAGCAGGCAGGGTCTTTCATGCAAAGGAAAAGGCATGTGCAACTAGCCTGAAGAGGGAAGAAGCCTGGGATACTTGAGAAACTAAAAAGTAGCTTGTGTGGCTGGAGTGCAGAAAGCAAGGGAGTGGTGATGGGAGGTAGGAGGAGAAAACAGGGGCCAGACCACACTGTCTGTACACACAATGGGAAATTACTGAAGCAGGAGTGTTACATAATCAGATCTGCATTATTAAAGGTTCACCCTGGTCATAGTATGGAGAAAAAAAATGGAAAGAATGGGTAAAAGCCTGTTCTAACAGTCTAGGCAAGAGTTGAAGGTGGTTTGGAGACAGGAGGTGTGGCATGGAGACAAGTGGATGAATTTGAGAGACACTTAGAGAGAAAAATTGATAGGTCATGGCTTGGATGTGTAAGATGAGGGAGAGGGAAATGTCATGTCAAATGTCATGTCAAAAACTGTTTCCAGTTTTTCAGTTTCAAAAGCTAGGCTGATGGTGGAGCCATCCCCTGAGAAAGGAAATATTGAATGAGAAACGTATTTTTGTTTCTAAGTTTGGGATGCTCTTAAGACACGAGATATTGAATAAAGGTAACTCTATATATATCTAGAGAATTTTTAAAGTTATCAATCTATAGCAATAATAAGTAAATTTCACCACTAGTGGACAAACTTGGTTTCTAAAAGGAAAGAAAATCAAATAGTGATGAGCACAAAATATTTCCATTAGATATGCTATGATGAACCAGAGATGTTCCCTTGGGGCTCCTTTGAAATAATTTAATTAATTTGATTTTATTATCGGTTTTAGCATATATTTTATCTTAGTATTTGAAAGAAGGCTAAAATATCAAATTAATTTGACTTTCCCCCTCCCTTTCATTTTCTAGTCGGACTAGGAGTCCAACAGCTAACCATGATCAGCTTCTTTTCTGAAATTTATAAAAGGACTGGAGTGATAGGACTTTTCAGAGGCATGACTCCAAATTTCTTAAAGTTGCTTCCTTCAGTATGGGTAAACTGTGTGGTTTATGAGTCAATAAAGCCATCGTTGGGAATATTTTAGAAATGAGAAATCTTGAACATTATCTGTACACTTGTTTATAAGCATGAAAACATCTTGGCCTTTTCCTTAAATTGCAAAAGATCTGTGTGAAAAGATGTTATATCCATTTTCCAAAAAGGTAAACATACAAATTAGACTGAAATATTGAGCTTTAATTTTATATAAGCCAGAATTATAGTTTATTAATTTCATGATGATTAAAAATTTTATTTTTAAATTTAGAAATGGGATCTCGCTCACCCGGGCTGGAGTGTAGTGGCACAATTATAGCTCACTGTAACCTTGAACTCCTGGGCTCATGCAATCCTCTTGCCTCAGCCTCCTGAGTAGCTGCAAATACAGGCATGTATGACAACACCTCGCTAATTTTTAAATTATTTTTAGAGACAAGGTGTTGCTATGTTACCCAGGCTGGTCTTAAACTCCTGGCTTCAAGCAATCCTCTCTTCTCAGCCTCCTGAATGGCTGGGATTACAGGTGTGAGCCACTGCACCTAACAAAATTTTTAATATTCATAAAATATACTTAGATTTCTCCAAATTTTAAACAACATCCACAGCTATTTGCATTTAAGTGGATTAAATGCAATTTATATTGCCCATTGTGACCCACTTATATATTTAACCTAATATTTCATATTAGAGAGTTGGAATATTTTGAAGCTTTTCAGAATTATCTACTTTGTATTTCAAAAAGCTAATATTTTAGTGCCTTATATGTATATTTTAAATCTGTTTGAAAGCATTAAAAGAAAACTAATGCATTTCAAATTGTAAATAATAGCAAAATAGAGAAGTGTCAGGTCCTTTTCTTTCTCTAACCAAACAAAATAGAAAGTACTAAATAGAATTGCATGGCATCAGAAAACCTCAGTCTCCTACTAGTGGTGTGTATAGAATAATGGTGACCTATTGCTCTTTTACTGAGCACTCTTATTTGTAGATACAGACATTTGTAGCTTGTTCTTCAACATTACAAATATTTCAAGAAAGTCACCAATGTGAACAAAGTAATTCAGAAAAATTTGAGAGCTCTGTACATAAATCTGTATTTGTAAAAAGTCAGGAAAATTACTGAGTGAATTCTTCATATTTTTTTCCTGCCATTTATACTGTACTTTTAAACTCAGTTTTATTAGAAAAAGAAAGGCTGATTGGAAATCCCATTTGAAATCTTAAACATGTGAAGGATGCAAAATATTCTCATCCACACTCTCTTTTTTTTGCCTCTATCTTTTCAGTTTATGTGAAGAGAAAATAGGCTAAAGATATTGTAAGATGCCTATATATAATTACATTATAAAGATTAGAATTGCTTTAAAATTGTGATTTAATAAGATACAACTATAAATTATATAATTTATAATATATTAATACCTAATAACTCGCAACTACATTTGATCAGCCCACTTTTCAGATTTTTCAGGACACAGATATTTCTGCCGCTATAGATAACAGATTTTGAGTTACTTGACTATTTTGAGTTTTCTCTTAACTTCTCAAGGCTATTAAATTTAGTTAAAATATGCTCTCACTATAAAGTGTTAAAACTCAAAATAATAATTGATATAGTCTTTTCCCCTCTTGTTAAATGGAATGATTTCATTTGCTGTGTCATTAGAGGAATTTAATTTCCTTAGGTTAGAATAGGGTACTTAATAAACTTTTTTTTTTTTTTTTAGACAGAGTCTTGCTTTGCTGCCCAGGCTAGAGTGAGTGCCGTGGCATCAGCCTAGCTCACAGCAACCTCAAACTCCTGGGCTCAAGCAATCCTTCTGCCTCAGCCTCCTGAGTAGCTGGGACTACAGGCATGCGCCACCATGCCCGGCTAATTTTTTCTATATATATTAGTTGGCCAATTAATTTCTTTCTATTTATAGTAGAGATGGGGTCTCGCTCTTGCTCAGGCTGGTTTTGAACTCCTGACCTTGAGCAATCCGCCCACTTCGGCCTCCCAGAGTGTTAGGATTACAGGCGTGAGCCACCGTGCTTGGCCTTAATAAACTATTAATGATGGGATTAAGTTGTTAAATTTTCTAAAAGTTGAAATACTATAAATGCACAACTGACATAAATTTGAGTAACAAAACCACGCAAATATTTTAGTCAGATCCCCCCCACTTTTTAAAATAGGATTAATCATAAGGAGGATTCTTATTACTTTATAATCAGTTCCTAAAGTTCATGTAATTATAAATGCTAGTATTTTATTGCATAGTAGTATTCCACTCAATATATATATGCAATTTGTTTATTTACTTATCTGTTGAAGAATATTGGGTTGCTGCCAGTTTTTGACTATTATAAATAAAGATGCTATGAACATTGGTGTACAGGTCTTTTTTTGGACACATATTTTCATATCTCTAGGGTAGAATGGACTTCTACCCTAGAGGTGGACTTGCTGGGTTATATACTGTCTTAGTTCATTTTGTGTTGCTATAACAGAATATCTGAAACTGCATAATTTATAAAGAACAGAAATGTATCCCTCACAGTTCTGGAGGCTGGAAATTCCAAAATCAAGGCACTAGCATCTGGTCTCTTGTGAGGGTCTTCTTGCTGCGACTTCACATGGTGGAAGGTGGAAGGCAAGTAGATAGTCAAATATTGCATCAGGCATCTTTTATAAGGGCCTTAATCCCATTCATGAGGGAGGAGCCCACACGGGGCCTAATCATCCCTTAAAGCCCCTACTTCTTAATACTATCACATTGACAATACCTGATTTTTGGGAGGACACGTTTAAACCATAGTATATACTAAGTGTATGTTCAACTTAAGAGAAACTACCAAATTGTTTTTCTAAGTGATTATAATATTTTACATTACTACCAACAATACTTTAGAGTTTCAGTTGTTCACATTCTCAGCAACAACTGATATTGTTAGTCTTTTACATTTTATCCATTCTAGTGGGTATGCAGTGGTAACTCATTGTGGTCTTAACTTACACTTCTATAATGAGTAAAGATTTTGAGTATTTTTAAAATGCTTATTAGGCATTTGTATATCTTCTTTTGTGAATTGTTCAGACCTTTTGCTCATTAAATTTTTTTTGTATTTGTAATATTTTATTGTAAGTATCCTTAAGTATTGTGGATACAAGTCTTTTGTCAGATATATACACATACATCTGACACATATATATCTGACAAAAGATATATAATTGGGGTGCTTAGAACATTGTTTTTAATTTTAATTTTTAAAATTTTTATTTCAGCATATTATAGGGGTAAAAATGTTTAGGTTACATATATTAGAACATTATGTTTAATGTTATCTACATGGTTGAGTGTAAATCTAACATCTTATTTGTTTTGTTTGTACCGACTATTTCTTTTTTTTTTCCTCTTTTGGATTAATTCAGTGTTTTTTAATATTCCATTTTATCTCTTCTATTGGTTTATTAGCTACAACTCTATTTTTTTTCAATGGTTGCTCTAGGGTTTACAGCACGTATTTTAAAAATGTATACGACTTCACATATAATGCAAAAACCTTTTAACTGTATACTTCCACGTCCCTCCTTCCATCCTTTTTAATATTATTGTCATACGTTTTATCTATACATGTTATAAGCACCACAATGTATTATTATATTTGCTTTTGACAGTTAATTGTCTTTTAAAGAAAAAAGTCTTATAATTATAAATGCCTAGCACTTACAGTATTTTCTAAAAGGTTTATTAACAGCTTTATGTTTTATTATTAGTTTGCAAACACACACACTCACGACACATATGTGTGTATATACACACACATACACACACACATTTTTCCCAGTAATTAATTGTCTTGCTTTTCCATTTTCTTTTTTTTTTTTTTTTGAGACAGAGTCTCACTTTGTTGCCAGGCTAGAGTGAGTGCCGTGGCATCAGCCTAGCTCGCAGCAACCTCAAACTCCTGGGCTCAAGTGATCCTCCTGCCTCAGCCTCCCAAGTAGCTGGGACTACAGGCATGCACCACCATGCCCGGCTAATTTTTTTTCTATGTATATTAGTTGGCCAATTAATTTCTTTTTTATTTATAGTAGAGACGAGGTCTTGCTCTTGCTCAGGCTGGTTTTGAACTCCTGACCTTGAGCAATCCGCCCGCCTCAGCCTCCCAGAGTGCTAGGATTACAGGCGTGAGCCACCACGCCCGGCCAGCTTTTCCATTTTCTTAACAGTGTTTTTTCAAGACACGAAGTTTCAAGTTTTTTTTTAAGGATATCTTCTTGTTCCAGTGCCATTTGTTGAAAAGACTATCCTTTCCTTGTTTAATTGCATTAACATCATTGTTGAAAATCAATCAACCATACACATGTAAGGTTTATTTCTGGACTGAAAGTTTTTCTTTTTTCAAAGTTGTTTTAGCTATTTGACATCCTTTGCATTTCCATATAAATTTTAGAATCAGCTTATCAGTTTTTACAAAAAAGCCTGCTGTTCTTTACTACATTTGATCTTAGCCAAAAGGCCAAGAAGCGATGTGTTCTTTAGATTGGGATTGCATTGACTCTCTAGATCAAATTGGAGAGAAGTGATATCTTAACAATATTGAGTCTTATAATCCATGAAGATTGTTATTTTTCCATTTATTTAGGCTTTCTTTCAAAAATGTTTTCACTTTTTTAGTGTCATGAGTCTTGTACATTTTTTAAGTTAATCACTATTTCACTTTTGATGCTAATGTAAGTGGTATTAAATTTTGTTTCCAATTGTTAGTATATAGAAATATAATTGATTTTTTTAAGTTGACCTTGTATCTGGCAACCTTGCCAAATTCACTTAGTAGTTCAGTAGTCCTTTTGTAGATTCCTGAGGATTTTCTATGTACATGATCATGTCATTTGAGAGTAAAGAAAGTTTGACTTGCCCCATGCCCGCATATATGCCTTTTGCTTTTTCTTGCCTTATTGCACTGGCTAGACATCCAGTGCAGTATTGAATAGAAGGGATGAGAGCATTCTTGCCTTGTTCCCAATCTTAGTGGGAAAAACATGTAGTCTTTCACTATTAAGTATGATTGTTAGCATTAGGTTTTATGTAAATGGCTATTCAGATTTACCATTTCTGTGTCAGTTAATATGTTTTTCAAGGAATGTCTCCATTCCATCTAAGTTACCAAATTTATTGGCTTAGAGGTGTTCATATGTGTTCTTATTATTATTTTAGCATGTGTAGAATTTTTAGTGATGTCTCCTTGATATTGATAGTTTATATTTTTCTTATTTCTTGATTGGTCTAGTTATAGGTTGACCAATCAATTTGGTCAACTTTTTATTAATTTTATCAATCAATTAATTTTTTCAAAGCAAATGCTTTTTGTTTCTCTATTGTCTTTTATTTCATTGACTTCAAGTCTTTATTATTTCTTTCAACTTATTCAGAATTAATTTGCTTTTCTTTTTCTAGTGTCTTAGGATGGGACTTTAAATCATGAATTTTAGACCTTTCTTGTTTTCTAATACAACCATCTAAAGCTATAATGTTAATTCTAGATACTGTTTAGCTACATTCTACATATTTTGATATGCTTTCATTATCATCCAATTCAAAATATTTTATTATTTTCCCTGCTATTTCTTCTTTGATCCATGTGTTATCTAAAAGATTGTTATTTAATTTGTACATGTTTGCGTATTTCCTTTTTGTGATTGATTTCAAATTTCATTTCATTGAGGTCAGAGAACATACTTTGTATTAGTTCATTTACAATTTATTGACTTGTTTTATGTCCTAGCAGATGGTCTTTCCTTGTGATTTTTACATGTGTAGTTGAAAATAATGGGTATTTTGCTATTGCTGGGTGTGGTGGTCTATAAATGTCAATTAGGTGGTCTTATTATTGAAGTCTTCTACACTTTTACTGACTTTTTGTTTCCTTATTTTATCAATTGCTGTAAGGTTATTGACATCTCTGACTCTAATTGTGGATTTATCTATTTCTTTTTGCAGTTTATCAGTTTTTGCTTCATGTATTTTAGAGCTTTGTTATTAGGTACATACACATTATGATTGTTATGTCATCTTGATGAATCAACTCTTCTAACATTATGTCTTTCTTATCTTGAAGTCTTGTCTGATATTCACATAACCACTCATGATTAGTGTTTACATAGTATTTCTTTTTCTATTTCTTTATTTTTAAACTATGTGTCTTTATATTTTATTTTTATAAAAAAACATATAATTGAGTCTTACTTGTTCTGCCTTTTAATTAGGATGTTTAGAACATTATTTTTAATTTTAATTTTTAAATTTTTATTTCAGCATATTACAGGGGTAAAAATGTTTAAGTTACATATATTAGAACATTATGTTTAATGTTATCTACATGGTTGACTGTAAATCTAACATCTTATTTGTTTTGTTTATACCGACTATTTCTTTTTTTTACTCTTTTGGATTAATTCAGTATTTTTTAATATTCCATTTTATCTCTTCTATTGGTTTATTAGCTACAACTCCATGTTTTTTTCAATGGTTGCTCTAGGGTTTACAGCACATATTTTAAAAATGTATACGACTTCACATATAATGCAAAAACCTTTTAACTATATACTTCCACGTCCCTCCTTCCATCCTTTTTAATATTATGTCATACATTTTATCTATACATGTCATAAGCACCACAATGTATTATTATATTTGCTTTTGACAGTTAATTGTCTTTTAAAGAAAAAAGTCTTATAATTATAAATGCCTAGCACTTACAGTATTTTCTAAAAGGTTTATTAACAGCTTTATGTTTTATTATTAGTTTGCAAACTTAATTAAATTAAACAATACATATTTTATTATATTTTGTCACATTTTTATTATAGTGCGTAAGTTGAATTTTATTTGTTTAAAAACCTAGAGCACACTAGATGGTAACCTTCTATGACAGCAGGTTTAATATTCTCTATTTTTATATCTTTAGCACTTAGCAAAATGTCTGGTACAAAAAGATATATATGAAATAAGTAACATTATAAAATATATGTTATTTTAGAAATAAGTGAATTTTACTCTGTTGTCTAAGACTTAGGATTGTACAAGAAACAATAATTCATTTAAAAACACTGGTCTGGGCCTGTCATTATACTGTGCTGCTGGTTTTCAAAAGATGTGACCAGAAATTGAGGACATAAAGTTTCAGTGCAATAAGTTACAGAACTGGTTTTCTACATAATCCTTCAAGCCCCATCCACCGCAATTCTCCAGAGCCTCAACTTTAGAAGATCTTAGGCACACAAAGGAGCTAGGAGAGGTCAAGACATGGCAGAAACATGTGCTGTCCCAGAAGACAAAGGAAAAGGTGTTTCAGGATGGAAGGCTTGGTCAGCACTATCTATTAATAAATGGGTCCTGGATTAAATAAATCAAGAATTTTAAAGTGTCCTTTGTATTTCGTGACAAAGAATTTCGCTAATGCAGGTGGTGGTGGCAGAAATGAGACTGCAGTGGCTTTAGGAGGAAGCAGGAGGTGAGGAAGAGGAGCTGGGTTCTTGGGAACAACATGGGCTCGCTGGCGAGGGAGGGGAAAGAGAGAGACAAGGGCAGAGGCTCCTGGGAAGGACTCTCCTCTTCAGATCCCTCCTGCAGGGTCACGGGGTCCGGATCCCTACGTGCTGGTCTTTCCTGGGAGGAGAGGTGGCAACCAGGGAACTACATGCCGACGTCAGGGAAGTACTTCCGGGCAACTCACGCCTCCACGCCTCACTACTACTGCTCGCTGCAATGACTTCCTTCGGTCACTTCTCAGACACCGAGATTGTGCCATGTGCCGGGAAATTCCAGACGTCCTTCCACCCGGCAATGCTCTTTCGACGCCACCTAGGGAATGCCCTTCCCTTCCCCAAACTTCCCTCAGCTCTCCAGTCGACCGCCCCTCCATACCGTAACGTGGCTACGTCAGGCGCCTCAGCTTCCGACTTCCGGAGCCCGAAGGCTCTCGCTTGGCGCCTGGGTGAGAGTCCCTCGAGGGGCCGCTCCTGAGGTTCCGCTGACCATTCTTCCCGCGGCGGGGAGCCCACGGGCGCTGGTGCTGTCGCCCGCGCGGGCTCCGAACCGCGGCCTCTTTGCCAGGCAGTTGCTGAAGCTGTGCGGACGGCGCAGCCTGGCCACCTTGCGCGGCCTGAGCGTCGAGGAGGCGGCGGCAAGTGGCACGGTGCCGGCGGGGTGGCGGGAGGCCCTAGCTCAGGGCCAAGTGAACCTCGCCATCGTGGGCTGGCACCAGACGGGCCATGCTGCGCTGGCTGCGGGGCTTCGTGCTGCCCGCGGCGGCCTGCCAGGATGAAGATGACTACTTACGCTATGGGATCCTCTTCGAAGACCTGGACCGCAATGGGGACGGCGTGGTGGACATCGTTGAGCTGAAGGAGGGGCTGAAAAACTGGAGCTCCTCCTTTGGCCCGGACTCGGAGAAGGTGAGCGACCAGAATGTGGCAATGTGAGTATGAAGAGATTTTGGGTGAAGTCAAACTTGCCTTTTTCAGAGCTTATTTCAGAGGCACATGGAGTAAGGGTGAGATTCTCTGTGTGCCTCGAAAACGCAGAATAATGTGCCCCAGCGACGTGTTCTCAGCCTTCTTAAAATATTCACTTTCCACAGCAACAAAAACCTTCTGGGCTTTTGGGAGATGCTCAGTGCTTCTGGTGACTAATTCAACATTTACTGAACCAGCACAGAATGTCAGGGGCTATGTTAGCCTTTCGAGCAGAAGTAAAGGACTGTTTCTTTTCTCAGGAGGTTCTCTGCCCAGGGGAGTGCTTCAGGGTCTCCTCCAGAGGACAGGCACAGATGAATGCCACAGAACTGCTCTTTTTTGATGTCCACATCAAAAGTCTAGAGGGAGTCAGACCTCGATCCATGGTTTACACTTCAGCTGAGTGTTTCAGAACTTTGCTTAAATTAGGAATGCTTTCCTACTCTAAAGTGGTCTTATTTTATTAATAAAACTATTTAGATGGAAGGTTCAGCATATGAAGAGAAAAATTGTTTTATTTCACCTCCATCAATGCTAAACAGTCTTCAGATATTACTCCTACTGGTTTTAGTTTTCTATCAGTGAGCTTTTGTTGTTGTTAGAAGTCCAAATCATCCGGAGCCCTATTTATTTAGCCATGGGCCCAGACACAGGAAGGAGATTTGCTTTCAATTTACAGCCAGGTTTTGCAGACAAGACAGACAGGCGTTTGTTTTAAAGGCGAGAGGTCAGAACATCTGACCTCTTCCCTCACTTTTGAAAGTCACCTTATTTGAATCAAATTTGGGTCAGGTTTTTGGTCATGCCCCTCCTTATTTATTTATATTTTGAGACAGGGTCTCTGTCACTTAGGCTGTAGTGCAGTGGTACAATTATAGCTCACTGCACCTTTGGACTTACAGGCTCAAGTGATCCTCCCACCTCATCCTCCTTAGTAGCTAGGACTATAGGTGCTTGCCACCAGGCCTGGCTAACTTTTGAATTTGTTTTTTTTTTTTTAGAGATGAGGTCTTGCTGTGTTTCCCAGGCTGGTCTGGAACTCCTGGCTTCAAGCAATTCTCCCACCTTGGCCTCCCAAAGGTCTGGGACTATAGGCATGAGCCACTGCACCTGGCCCCCTCCCTATTTTTTTTTTTTTTTTTTTTTTTTTAGTAGAAATCTTAAAATAGCAAGCAAGTAGAAAGTTCTCATTCTTTTTAGGAAGACCAAAGATGGGTTCCCAATCCCTTCTGGCTTGTAAGGTTTCCACTGAGAAGTCTACAGTTAGGCTGATGGGTTTTCTTTTGTAGGTTAGTTGTTGCTTTCGTCTTACTGCTTGTAGCATTTCCTCCTTTGTTTTGATCTTGGCCAGGTTGATTACTGTGTGTCTTGGAGATGTCCAAAGATGATGAATCTTCCTGGTGTTCGATGATCATCTTGTATCTGGATGTGTGAATCTCTGGTGATATCAAGGAAGTTTTTTCGATAATTCCCTGGAATAGGTTTTCCTTGCTTTTTGCTCTTTTTTTTTCTCTCTTGGTGATAACTATAATTTGTATATTAGTTTGCTTTGCATAGTTCCATATTTCTCTGAGTGATTGATTGTTCAGTCTTCTTTATTCTCTTTTCTGCATCTTTGAATGACTGTTAGCTTGAGAGCTTTGTCTTCAAGTTCTGAGATTCTTTCTTCTGCTTGGTTTACCCTGTTGTAGCTTTCTGCCATATTTTGAAATTCTCTAAATGACTCTTTCATTTATATAAGTTCTATTGTAGCCTTTCCTATGTTGTCTAGCTATTTAGTGACTTTTTCATTTTTTAATTGATTTCCTGAAAAAAATTTTTTTTTGGTCTCTTTTTGTTGGTTTTCAGCTTTCTCTTCAATTCCATTCATCTTATTTGCCATCCAGATTCTGAATTCCATTTCTGACATTTCACTAATTTCCTTCTGTTCAGGGTCGACTACTTGATGGCTCTATGATGCCTTAGGGGTGTCAAACTGTTCTGTTTTTTCATGTTGCCGGAGGTCTTTTATTGGTCTCTTCTCATCTGAATCCTTTTCTCTTAGCTCATGGCTGATAGGTTTATAGGGCACCTGTTTTCCTTTGTTGGGAACTGTCCTATTTAGTGAGAAGAAGTGGATGTCCCTAGATGGCACTTTTGTGTCCTTTTCTGGAACGTTGATCTAGCCTGGGAGGGGTGGGTGCACTGAGTGCCTATAGTGCAGCTGTTTGTATTGCCCCTTTCCCTTGTGATTGTCACAGTTCAAGCTGGTGCTGGATGATCTTTGTGCAGTGTAGTGGGATGTTCCCCACATTGTTGTTGGAAGTTTGAGTTGGGGCTGGGTGGGACCTCTTCATGGAGGCTGGCATTGTGGGCGATTGCTGTGCCTGGGATCTCCCTGCGGATGTGAGAGTGGCAGCTGGGTGAGGCTATCTAGGCAGTGGTATGGGTGTCCACACTGTGGGTGTTTGCTTGAACTAGGTCTGGGTATAATGTCAGTTTGCAGCTGGGGGTTCCTGGGAGATTGTTGGACCTTGGGGTGATTCTGTGGTCCCAGGGACAGTGATGGAACCTCAAGGAGGCAACTCTGGTGGCATAGGAATCATGGTGGTGGAGTCATGCCAGGTGGGTGGCAGCGTGAGGGTTGCAACGGGTGAGGCTGTGATCTGGAGTTGCCAGGAGACTGGGGTTTTCCCCCGTTCCAGTCCTATTGAGGCCATTGCCATAAGGCTTCTCAGGTGGTGCCTGTGGTGCCTCAGGCGCCCCCTCTTCTCAGATCCTGCATTTGATCTGGCTCCATACCTAGTCATAGGGTACCACACCAGGGAGCATCTGCTCTTCCTGCTCCCTCCCCAGCCTGGCTGGAGTATGTGAAGGCTGATGTTGCAAAGCCAAGCCCTGTACAGACCTGGTGCCTTGTAGCTGAGAGCTCACAATGGCGTCAGTTGTAGCAACCTGGGATCTGTAGTCCCCAAATGCCTGCTGTGCCTGCTCTCCAATGCAGTGTGTCTACAAAGACTCCAAGTAGCTCCTGGATCAGTGCCTGCAGGCTAAGCATGGAGTTCCTGGATTCTGTCCTTCTGATTTTCCCCACATGTGGATGCTCCCGCGCCCCCCACCCCCGTAGTTACCTTTTGATCTTGCTGAATGAATTACCCCATCACCTTCTCCTTCACTCTGAATGCCCCCATTGCTTCTCTGGAGTTTTATAATGTTCTTTTGAAGAAGAGCCATCAATAGGTAGGCATCTGCTGCAACTTTTGATCCTCTTCTTGAGAGCTGAGTGTATGAACTGCTTCTAGTTCACCATCTTCTCCCTTCTCTCCAGTCTGCATATGTTGTTTTCACTTGTCTAAAGATATTTTCTAATTTTTCTTTGATTTTTCCTTGACCCTTTGGTTGTGCAAGAGTATGTTATTTAACTTCCACCTATTTGTAAATTTTCCTTCTATTGATTTCTATTTTCTGTTTTTATTATTATTATTTTTTTTGGAGATTGGGTTTCACTCTGTTGCCCAGGCTGGAGTGCAGTGGTGTGATCATAGCTCAGTGCAGCCTTGAACTCCTGGGCTCAAGCAATCCTGCCTCAGCCTCCTGAGTAGCTGGGACTACAGGCATGCACTACTACACCTAGCTAATTTTTCTTTCTTTCTCTTGCCTAATTTCTCTGGCTAGGACTTCCAGTACAGTTGAACAGAGTTGGTGAGAGTGGGCATTCTTGTTTTATTCCAGATCTTAGAGGAAATGCTTTCAATTTTTCACTGTTGACTATAAATCTACCGTGTTTCCCCAAAAATAAGACAGGGTCTTATATTTATTTTTCCTCAAGAAGACACCCTAGGGCTTATTTTCAGGGAATGTGTTATTTTTTTTTTAAGTACGGTACAACAATCTACATTTATTCAAATATAGTTAAGTCGTTTTCTTCTGGAACATCGTAACTCTCCAAACCTCGAATTCCATCCTGAATTTCTTGTGACTCTATTTCCATTAGAACTATTGGCCTCAATCTCTCATGTCAAGCAGTAGAGCTCTCATGGGGCAGATGAGAAAGGCTGTTCGTCTTCTTTACCATTCCAAGATGAAATGCATGAGTTGTGCAGATATGCTGCATAGCCACGCCCATCACTAGGTCTTATTTTCTGGGTAGGGCTTATATTGCGCAAATGCTTAGAAATCTTGCTAGGGCTTATTTTATGGGTAGGTCTTATTTTCGGGGAAACACGGTAGCTGTGGGATTCTCATATATAGCTGTTACTGTGTTGAAGTATACTCCTTATATACCTAATTTGATGAGAGGTTTTATAATGAAAGGATGTTGAGTTTTGTCAAATTTTTTCTCTCTGTCTAATGAGATGATCATATGGTTTTTGTCTTTCATTCTGTTAATGTGATGTTTCACATTTATTGATTTGTGTGTATTGAACCATCCTTGCCTCCTAGGGATAAATACCACTTGATCATGGTAGATGATCCTTTTAATGTGTTATTGAATTTGGTTTGCTAGTATTTTCTTAAGTATTTTTGCACCTCTGTTTATCAAGGATATTGGCCTGTAATTTTATTTCCTTTTAATGTTGTCTGGCTTTGGTATCAGGGTAATACTGGCCTTGTAAAAAGAGTTTGGAAGTATTTTCTCCTATTTTACTTTTTGGAAGAATTTGAGAACTTGTTCTTTTTTCTTTCTTTTTTTAATTTCAGCATATTATGGGGGTACAAATGTTTAGGTTACATGTGTTGCCTTTCCCCCTTCCCCCTCGAGTCAGAGCTTCAAGTGTGTCCATCCCCCAGATAGTACTCATCACACTCATTATGTATGTATGTACCCATCCCTTCCTCCCCTGTCCCATCTGCCCGACACCCGATAAATGTTATTGCCATAGGTCCACTTAGGTGTTGATCAGTGAAATCAATTTGCTGGTGAGTACATTTGGTACTTATTTTTCCATTCTTGGGATACT